CTATGATGAATCAGTGGCTGCAGTTTGTTGATGCTATTATGTGCTTTCTTGGTTGTTGTTACTTCTTACCTAAAGAAAATGTAGAGAAAGAAGACAAAGATTGGCTTCTGGAATTCTTGCTAGTCCATTGACCAGCAGGGGCCATATAGCTTTGTGCTTGTATGCATTGAGAAAGAAGGGGCAATATGCATATGCTCTGCTGTGGGTCATGTGACTGGAAGAGGAGGAATGGAACTGTGACCAATGTTCCAAGTCATGCAGCCTAATTGGGCCTATATTCTTTCTCCGCACCAAATTTGGCTCCATTCCGTTGAGTTTTTGGAGAGCTAATGCTGATGAACAATTCCAACCTCCTTTACATCATTTTTTTCAACATTCCAGTTGGATTGGAAATAACAATGAATATGTCCTATGTATATATTTTGGGAGCCTAAAAGAGGAAATGAAGAGAAGAGAAACTTTATATCTTGTCGGAAAAAATCTGGATGGCTAAAGCAATTCTTGTTTGAGAAGGATGTGTAAAAACAGAATTACTAGGATCTGCAGGAACAGAAACTAAGAAAATGTAGTTCTCTTGTGGAAATTTTGTCACTGGGTTCACACAATACAATGAGGGCTAACCCAGTCAACCGTATTTTAGCCTAATGTATTGTGTGAACCCAGAAAATGAGGTTGAAGAAAGGTTGGCTCAGTTAAACACAGAGAAAACACACAGCCTGTGTGGTATTAGAAGTGTATGTTGTGGTGATCTGTTAAAACCAGGGGTGGGATTCTACCAGTTCATACCTATTCGCTAGAACCAGTTGTTAACATTCTAAGCAGTTCGGAGAACCAGTTGTTAGAAGAAATTACTGGCCTAATCCTGAAAGGAAGGCAGGAAGGAAACGTTCTGGTGTTGCTTACAGAAACTGCCTCTCCGTTAACCCTTATTACATTCTTGGCAGGACTAGACTTCCTGTCTCAGGAACTTCCCTGGAGTTTTTTTTCCTCCTTTGCTGCTACTTTGCTTGTGTGGAGTGACCATTCAAAGTTACAATGGCACTGAAAAAAGTGACTTATGACCATTTTTCACACTTACGACTGTTGCAGCATCCCCACAGACATGAGTCAGGTGAAGAGATGAGTGCCTCGATGTGAGTGATGAGTTGGCCATGCCCAGCCAATAACATGACCACCAAGCCACGCCTACCAGCTTAGCCATGCCCATAGAACAGGTTGTTAAAAATTTGAATCCCACCCGATTAGAACTATAAGAGAATAATGTATTTGCAGGCTGGGTCTCCTCTGTCCACCCAGGATAGCCACTGCCTCCCCACCCCACAAAAAGAGAGGAACTATGTAAAAAGCTTCCTATATGGATTGTGGCTCTAAATAAACAAGGGTTCCAGTCTATGGAAAGTACTTCTGTTGTGGCTTCCTTAATGACGGTGTGCCTTACTTTTCAAAAGTATTCATTTACATATAAATTAATAATTGTCAACCTTAGGTAGTCCAAACAAGGCACATGCCCTGATATACTACTGTAGCATCAACTTTATTGTAAAGTTACAATAAGGAGAATCTATTAAATCTGAAAATGTATCTCTCTCCCCACTCACCTTTACAGTCTAACATATTAGACTCGAAAAGTCCCTTCTGAGATATTTGCCATCGTTTTGTGGACTAAGCTGCCACTAGTCTGATTGCTGTCTCGTTTGTGGTTCTTTCTCTTCCCTTCTCCCAAGATCATTTCCATATACCATTACAATAGAAAACTGAACATATGAGTTCCAAATACCTATTCTTTGTTTTTCCTAAACCTGAGATGTTTCTAAACAAACATTTTATTTCCAACAGAATAAATGTAGTTCAGAGTTGAATTTGGAGTCATTGATACTCTCGGAGTTTAACTGTTTGCTTGTGGACATTTCATTACCAAACTAGATAACATAATGTGTTTACTTCCTGTACAGTAGCTTTCCCTGCAGTGTTGGTGTGGGTGGGATTTTCTCCTTGATACCTTCTTGATTAGGGTACAGTATTGTTTTCTGTTTGATTGTTTGCTTGAGACATTTTCAATAGTGGGTTAAGTAGTCAGGTACTTTTTGATAAAGTGTGGGTATCCATTTTATTGGGAGACATTACATAAGTGATTTCTTTCCTTTTTCTGATGTTGTAGATTGCTACATGCATCTATATAGTAGTTGTCTTTTTCAGACAATAGTCCTTTTTATTAGACCTTATAGTAGACAGACTAGGTTTGCCAAACTTGCTAAATCATGGTTAATTCAATCATAGTTCATTGACTTAACAATTCCTGGATTTGTACAACTCTGTGAACCATAAACTAATCACTCTAGCTGTATTTGCAAAATAAAGGGTGGCACTACGTAGCCAAAATTGTTTTGTGAAGTTGGCCAGTGTCCTAGGTTTTATCTAGCATTGCCACAGATAATAGAATCAGCCTTTTATTGTAATCTATAATTAACCTTCTTTCCCTACCTACCTATCTTAATGAAGTTAACTGGGGGGAAAGACCCAGAAAAAGAATCCAAATCTTTGAAGGTGTGGATATTTGATTGCCATAGGTTTGGGGAGGATCATTTTGTGAGATACATCACAGCACCCACTTCTTTATTTCCTCCACAAATATTCAGATTATGAACATACATATGGGTGTATTAGTCATCTATATATATATACCTTTAAACATCTGAGGGAGGGGACAGATGGTGAAATTCCAAAATTACAAAATGTTGGTTTGAAACAGGCGTTGTGTCCCACTTATTTTTCTCTGTTTACCTTTCAGTCTAAAATCAAAACATTTCATCCAATATATGTTTAGAAAGGAGGGGACTACTTACAAATGGTCATTTATAATAAATGCTTTCAGTACACCAATATGACATTCATTCCAAATGGAGGAAGTAGATGTAAGTGGCAATATAAGCTTTCTAAATAGTGTCACTGCTTTCCTGTCCTCAAGACAGTGACTGCAAAGAACTGGTTCCCTAATGTAATACAGAAATGCCAATATTTAACTGTAAGATTCAGCAAGGAACTTTGATGTCTAAAATGGTTTTGTGGGGGAAAAAAAACTTGTTCTGATTTAGAAGTGCTCTTATGCTCTTCAGAATATATAAACAACGAGGATTAGTTTTCCAAATGTAAAAATAGTGTTTTATAAGATTCCAATTATGCCATCTAGTGTCTATTATGCAAAATGCTACAGTAAGATATTAGAATATATGGAGAATTTTAAATTACTTTTCTAAAAATGTTCTTTAAAAAATCTAATAGTTATAGACAACATTTCTGATATTTATATAGGATATTTACTTCATTTCCACCACCTAATCCTCCTTTAACCCTCTTCTTGCAGTGATACTGCACCTCTTCTTCTACGTTTCCACATGACCAGCAAGGAAGAGGAAGAGATCTGGTTCCTTCATAAGGGGGTTCTCTTTTTTTCCAGTGTACAGGATCTACCATTGTCAGATAGCTGCTTTACAGGACTGCATTTTGGGTAGAGAGGGTCTGCCAGGCAACTCAGTCTCACTCAAGAAAGAAAAAAAGTTCCTCTGATTGGAAGAAGCACACAAGCCTTGTTCTGTTTATGGGGTACACTAAAAAGGTAGGGTGGAAATGCAAGTGTGCAAGAGCTGGAGAAGATACTAAAGGTCCAGTGGAGTTTCTGACTACTAGTTGCCCTTCCTTAATTTAATCTGTGAAGCTAAGTCACTGTAGACATTTGGCTGACTTTAGCAAATTAATGGATTCATGATATGTGATTTATTGATGTTTTGGAAATGTTTTTAAAATTGTTAAAATGAAACAACGTACTCTATTTATTTCACACCTTAAGGGATTGATTTTTTTTCTCTTCAGTTTTAGCTCACCTTAATAATTTTGTATGTTTTTTACCTGACTGGATAATCACTGTACAGCTATTTTATATTTTCATTGCATTTTCTCCCAAAAAATGAAGTAGAAAATGACATAAAAGCTAAGCAGGATCAGACCTGGATATTATTTGAAATGAAAATCAGAAAGCCCTTAGCCTAAACCTGGAATTTTAAAAAATATCCTAAAGCAAGCAATGACCAACCCATCTCCCTTTTATATATATACTTTATGTTCGGCTGCTGTCATTTTGTCTGAGAAAGAGCCTCCAGTTCGATAGGAATTTTCCCATTAAAAAAAAACATTTTCGGGAACAAAAAATACCGCCTTCCAATTTACAATTGTATAGTCAGGCTTTATTTTATTCATATATCCTTGTTTCACGTAGGCTCCGCAAACTGCGCAGCTCTTTTATGTAAGTGGCAAACACTAAATCGCAAAGCAGTGAGGAATATTCATTTGCACGGAGGTGAAATCAAAATAAGAATCAAAAGAAGGAAAACAGTATGAAATCCTAATTTCTACCGTTTTTCTTAAATGTTCGGCTTTGTGTTGTCTTTACAAGGAAGACCCGGAGAATCAATTGCCCGAATCTGAGTTTGTAATGGTTGTAAATATCGTACCGCAGTGCAAAATGCCATTCCGCAAAAGGACTTTACCTTCGCGCTCCATAGGACAACAATAACAGCAGCCACTGGCAAATAATCCCGCGCCAATAAATTCCTGCCAAATGAGCAAGAGGTGCCAAAGCATACAAGCTGACGTCATCCCCCAACCCTCCGCAAACAATGACCGTTTGCACCAACTTCGCCGCCCTGGCTTTTATATCGTTTTCCCGAAGAAATGCCTTCTCTCTGATTGGTAGGAGAAGAAAATAGCCTCATCGCAATTGGCTGAAGTTCTGAGTGAGCCCGCCCTCTCCTCTCACCCAGTTTATTATGATTGAATGACCGATTAAGCCTTTAGGCAGGATTGCTCCGCCTCACCTTTTATCTTCCCGTTTTGATTCGCCAACTTACCTGTCCCTCATCCCGGCTTCTCAAGTATTTTTTTTCCCCTCCGCCCACCTTTCCATTGACGCGCGTGTCGAGCGAGGATGCCATTGGCTTTTCGCGTTACGCTCCGACTGTGCGGGGCTACGATTGGCGTTTGGACTTCCGCAAGCCGCGCCTCCTTCCTTTCCATTCGTTAGGTGATTAGTGGAGGTGGCCGTCAATGTCTCTACTGTTCCCGCCTTCTGCCATTCCGAATCAGGAAGTGTGGTCGCAGAGTGCTTTGGGGATCGGTTCCTGCGATGGGCAGGCGAGCAGATCCCGGGTCTATGGTGAGAAATAAAGCCGTTGGTTTTGGAACTGAGTGGGAGGGCGGGATCCCGTTTCGGCTTTCCCTTCTCACGCAGGGTTAGGGGTGGGGCCTCGGGTATTGTCTTGGATTGAACCGAAGGCTCTCGAGGCGGGTTGAGCTCCAAGACTGACCTTGCAGGACCAGTTCTAGTAGCGTATCTGGTTCAGTATCCTGTTTTCAGAAACCTCCGGCCAGATGTGCCGGGAAAGATCCCGAGGAAGTTGGGGGAAAGGTATTGGCCTGCTCTTCGTGTCCCCAAGAGTGCTGCTTGGAGCTTCTGTTTCACTAATCACTGCTCAGAAGAGTTCATTTTTGTCTGCCCCCAAAGTGTTGGATGTATATTTTGTGTATATTCGTAGATATTTTACTCTCAAATTGCAAATGGAGACTTGGGTACTCTATCTTTCTTATCTTCATTTTTAAGTGCTTTTGTTTTATTGTATTGCGAACAGTTGCTGGGGTGCATCCACAGTTTTGTTGTACTTGTACAATGACAATAAAGTTCTTCTAATTCTAATTTAAGCTAATAGGTTTCTGCTTTTGTTGGATTTCTAAGGATTCACACTCTTAAGTAAGGAGTGTGGCAAAAAAACTCCATTGCCAGCGGCTTAGCCCAAAAGCACTGCAAATGTGCCAATGGTATACATGTTAGGAGATCGTTTTTTATGGAAACATAAAAGGTTACCTCTGATTCCTCTGAATGAACAATCATTTAGAAGCAGCAACAACTATAGAATTATCCACTTGATCGTAGACCATGTTAAGAAAAGAAAACAAGCTTCGTTTTAGCAATCTGGACACTTTCTGAAAATTCGTTTCCTTGGGTCACTCACTCATAGTCGAGGAGGACACTTGGGGGGTGGGTGGGGACAAAGGGGTTTGCCAATCCGTGAAAGAGAAAATTGTGGTACTGAGCTATTCTGAAATTATTGAACCTCCTGCTAACATGGGATTTCATTCTGGAAATGTATATGCTGTGCTTTCTGAACTTCTTAAATGGGCTTGACGTCTGTCTAATACTAGATGTTGATGTCCTTTCAAATAGATGTAGAATTGTGTACAGAGATGAAGAGATGCTCTGACACAGTCATAGATGGAATGTCTTATCTTTCGTGCTCTCAGGGTAGCATTGCCAGGAATTGCTTGAGAAATTGCTGAAAAAATAAGTTTCCATTCCTTTGATCTGAAGCGTGCCATCTTCTACTTGAAATTAGATTCATTTGTACAGAATAATAAAAAATGATTAACTCCTTGGCTTACAAAAGTATCTATCAAAGAGATTGTTCAATTCCTGTTTTATCCAGGGGTGAACTCAGATCCTTTGTGTCTTATTTATTTGAGACAAGCTGGTTTCATAAGCAATCCTGTATCAGGTTGTTTTCTCACTTGGCTGCTGCCAATAACTTCATTGCACCTGATACCATAAGTGTATTTGTGAAAGAGATTCTTACTTTCTGGAAAGTATAGTTTTCATGTTAATGTTTCAGATGGGCAGATGCTATTTGAAATGTATAAATATTCTTCTCATATTTGTTTAGCAATGTAGTACAGTAATGCTTTAGTCCATACTGCAGTACTTGTGTCATCAGTATGATAATTGAACTTAAAGCAGTATCACCGAACACCACAAAACTAGTTCTAACCAGACTATGAGGGTGAAGATAGTATATGCAACTTGAGAGCAAACCTCTTTTCCATTTTTCTGGAAGTCTCAAAGTTGCCAGGCTTGGAACAGGGATGGTGTTATGGCATCATTTGGATGGGATTTTTTGGAGGGTTAGCAGCATGGCACTTTCATGTTTCTGTGGAATCCAGCTCTTTTATTACCATTAAAATTTATTTAAGGGGTTTATTTCTTATTATTTTACCAGAAGTTTATTTTACAGTGTTCTTGCATGAGATCCTTCAAAAATTCTCCAAATTTTTGCTGATTTTATTAATTTTAATTTGTATATATGTGGGTTTGCCATGTTTTTGGAAAAGGTAAACAACGCCAGAACTATTTGGCTGGTGGAAATTACTATTCATGATTATATTGCTGCCCTCTCCCCTCTCCAGGACTCAGGGAGTTGAACAGAATTCCTTGAAGGAAACCTAGATTGTTTTGAAATGCATCCATTTCTAAATCGCCTATTTAGGTATTGTGTTGGCTCCACTATTTGCAATGCTCTGTCTCTACAAGCTGGAAATTCAGGCAGCAGCTTTTCAAATCAGTTAAGAAAAGTTATTGACAAATATTTTTTACTGATTGTCCATGTTTAACTATGGTAGTGACCTAATGACCTAAGAAGTAAAAAGAAATATTCAGGTATATAATTTTTTCTCCTCCCTTCATCTCTGTTTCCAGTTAGTAAAAAAAATTCTTGCAGTATGATTTGAAGGTATTTCTTCCTTGACTCAGCCTGAAGACTATTTACAAGCCTGCTGTAAATTATTTGAGAATGGTACTTTCAGAAACTTCTCAGTTAAACAGCAGCTGAAATGGCAAACGTGCACAATAGGAAACCAAATGCTATACTGATTTAGCTGGTGTTCTTTTCTCTCTTTAACTCTTCAATTGTATTCTTTTTGGGGGGAAACTTCAGGATTTCAGCTAAGAGATGGAGACATGTGCTTCCTCTTTCTTTTTGAAACTGATATTTGGAGGCACGATGTCCTCAGTTGAGAGGTTGAGTCTCAAGGCTAATAACTCTTGACATTCTTGTCCATCTACTTATTCAGTACCTTCTTTAATGCCATCCAAGTTATTGGCCACCATCATGTCTTGTGATATGCGTTCTACAGATTATATGCTTGGTAAGAAGCTTTGCCTGTAAATCTCTTTTTAGGCCAGCTTTGCTGAATGGCCCCTGGCCTTAGTATTTTGAGACAAGGAGTTTTGTAGTTCCATAGGCTAGGTTCACATGCTGTATTAAGTCATAATGTAGTTTGCCTGATTTGGGCTTATGCTATGTTGATCCACCGCTATGATTTACAGTTAAAGGGTTCTGTAAGAATCAATTCCAGTGTAGCTTATTTAGTATGATTCTTAACTCATGGTTAACAAAATATCTTAATGCTATGTGTGATTTCAGCCATTGTGTTCAATCTTATTTCAGTCTATATCAATATTTGTCCCTCTTTCTCAACCAGGGATATAGGACATTTTTTTTACAAAAATGTCTATTCTCTTGACTAGAAAAACAAAAACTCTTAATAGCTGGCAGGTTCATTTTTAGTTCATTCTTTACATAAGTTTCACCTAACAATATGTCTTTTTTTCTACAACAATTTAAAGTAAAAACAGATGTATTCTCGTTTTGGTGTCTGTTTACTTCCAGATTATTTCTGTTCTCTGTAGACCCAAATGGAACAGCAAAAGCGTAGAAATTTCTTCAAGTGGTTCTCTTTCTGAAATATGAGTACAGGCAATTTTTGTTCAGTGTTCATTTGACATATTGGATTACAAATCAGCCAATTACAGTATAGTCCAACCTATTGTGTCAGTGGGTTTAATTTATGGCTTATGCTCTTAATCAGACTAATTGAGGACGCTACTTAATAATAAATAACTTGTGTGAACACAGTTTTGCCAGTAGAGGGCCAGAAGAGGAAGAACATATTTTTCCCCAAGAAAATCTGGACATATGTACATGTAAAAATTGTGTGAATTTATACGCTTGGATGAAAATTTAGAATTAAATGTATCTCCATTTGTAAACATTTTTTTTACAGAATAATGAATATTTAAGATTTCATTTCTCTTCTTTAAGATTACAAAATGTATTCATATGTAATCCCCTCCCCGCAAATAATATATTTGCTATTTATTTCTGTATTGGATTTGTTTTTTATTTGTTTTGGACTTTATTACACATTGGTTATATTCTCAGTGCTTATTGATGTCATGTTGTTTAGGGTTTTTTTCTTATTTATTGAGATAATTGTGTAAATAAAATGCCAATAATATGAGGGAAAGCTAAACAGTGACTGTCTTTGCGTCTAGCCCAGGGCTGTCAAACTCATGGGTCACGGGCCGGATGCATCACGTTCTGGCCCTACCCGGTTTAGCAAAGGGAAAAAAGTCCCGATATGTCATGTGATGCCTCTGTGACGCGGCGAGTTTGACACCCCTGATCTAGCCCCTTCAGCCTCCTGTCCTTTTTCTAATCATTAATGGCCAATTTCAAGGCCTTTGCTCTTTTTCAAGAGTTCTTTATCTCTGAACAGGGATCGAAGCAAATAGCTTTTCAAGCCGAGGGCTGTATTCTGTAAAGAAAGTTTACAGTTTGGTTGAATTTTATCAGTTATAGCCATGACAAAGAAAATCACTAAGGAGATGTAACCCCTCCCAGGAATGCAGCTCCAGAAACGTACTTGTAGTGATGATTAGTGGCCACCCGGCATTTCCTGCTGTCTCTTTGAGGCACCGCTGCTTGGGCATGTGATTGAGATTATAGCTGGGACAGCAGGCACAGATTGAATTTTGTAAAGAGCCTAGAAGTGGCTGTGTCCTTTCCCTCAATCTGGGTTGGTACATTCCAGCTTGAAGAGTTGCATTATGCACACTATTTGATGTTAGGGTGGAGGGTACAGGGCACTTGGGAGGTGATATGTGTAGCTCTGTTCCTAATTTGAGAAATGGGTTGGGCCTGTTGAGGAGGCACCATAGCACCTGCATCCTGTTTGCTACTCAGGGAATTTCCTCATGCTTGCCTTTTGTCTTTGCAGTTGTTGTTTGAGACGTAGAGATGGAGAACGAAGACCCTGGCTTACCTTGTAAAGGGGAGATGGAGCTCCCTGACCAGAAATGTGGGCTGGATCCTACAGACAGAAGTGAGTACTTTGAACTATCTGGTTTGGAGCTAGAGAGCGGGGCAGAAGTGTAGTGCCCGGATACACTTCCTTTGACAACTACTAGGTTCTGTTTGTCTGACTTAGGTTCATTTAGCAAAAAAATAAATAGGAAACCGTTTGCTGAAATCAACATCAGCTTCTCACAACATTTATTTTCAGTAACTGCCTTTTAGGTCTCTGGTTTAATGGAGAGCAACTTGTATAAAGTAGATTAATTCCTGGGAAGTGAATAATTTGTGGCAAGTATTTTGTGGACAGGTAGATTTTCCAGGGCAACTATTTTGTGGGGGCACCCACTTCATAAGGTTATAATCTCCCTGGCCTAACCTTAATAGGGTGTGTTTCTTCTACTGAAAACCTTCTGATGGCTATAGTGAGCTTTTTACTTTGACACTGGATTTTTTTCATTTTATAAGTCACTATTTGGATCAAGCTGACTAGTTTGATGTGATCATAGCTTGAACTGAGTTTGGTTTAACCCATTTATTTGATACTATTCCAAGGTCTGTAAGCAGAAAATGATACACCCTTGCTCTTAACATTTACAGTTTAAACCTTTGCACAATAAAGGGAAAAACAAAGATAAGAATTGTATGTGAATCCACACATTTGCAGATATGCAATCTTTGTTTTTAAAATCACTGGGATTAATGGGGAAAACAAGTGAGCTTGGAAGAACAATTCAGAAAAAAAAATAGCAAGCCCTGTATTCGCATGATATGTAAGTATGGTTTATTGAGTAAGCCACTATGGCCTTTTCACACAAAATAATGCATAAAATATTTTAAATTATTATACTACTTAAGTTCACACCTCTTACTAAATTACAGTGAGGGGGAATTGGGCTTTTGGCTTAGTGAACCCAGCCGTAGCTTAATGATACATATTAATAATAATATAATAAGAAATTCAAGAAATCTTGAAACAAATCTTGATTTAGTATATGAATCTTGCATTCATATAGAAAATGAATGGAAATGAAACATGGTTAGTACAGGCTTTGAAGGCTAGTTATCCTGACCATGATTGCTAAAAACTGATAATATAACTTTTGACCATTTTCAGGTGAGAAATATATGAAAATTATACTGTAACAAAAAAAACACTCCCCAAGCATTTTGTCTTATATAGGGATTAGTCCTTGCTCACTTGTAGCAATCAAATCCCACCTGCCCTAAGTATCCTATTTTCTGAGAATTAATTCAGGCATTATGAAAAAAAATAAGAGAGATTTGATTTATGACAATGGGAGGGATATGTGTGTTGTGAATTTACTGAATTTGATGTGAAGACTTTATTTGTTCCTTGATATAGTTATATAATCTGTCCAATAAATGGGAATCTGTAGTTACTGACCCAGCTTATAGAAAGCAGATGGGGGACAAAGATTACTTCTGGATTTTTTCCCCCTGTGATTTCTCAATATGCTTTTCCAGATGGGGATGAATCCTGTTCCGTCTCAGAGAAGCAGGAGGAGGTATCTGCTGCCCCAAATAATGGACCCATGAGTGTGGTAACTGACAAAGTGAACGGGCAGGAGGAGCTGAGAGAGGCTCCAGAAGAACTGAGTGACAAAGATGTGTCTGATTCAACCTCAACCGACAACACTTGGGAAGATTCGAGTGAGTTTCACCGACAAATGGTGATAGGAGATGGACCGTCAGGAGAAGAGGAGGCAGTGATACAGTCACGCCTGGCTACATACCGAGATGAAGATGTGACTGCAGAGAGTTGGCGGGCACACAGGAAACATGTCTTCATTTTAAGTGAGGCTGGGAAACCCATTTATTCACGTTACGGCAATGAAGAAGCCCTTAGTTCCACCATGGGTGTCATGATGGCATTGGTATCATTCATCCAAAGTGGGGATAACTCTATTCGCTCCATTTATTCTGGTATGGAAACAATTTTAAAAGGAGTAATGCTTAACAAATATTGTAATTTATGAGGCAGTTATATGGGCCGATGATTTAACTAAAATAAGAAAAGCTTGGGATTGCAGTACTTAAGAGTCCATTATGGGTCATTCACATAATTTAACCACTGGATTATGGATCAGTTCCCATGTCTGTGCCCATTTTGATAAGTATTGTTTATTAAAATGTCTGGGATCTTTTTCAAGGGGAGGCTGGCCTAACCATTACCCCATAACAATTGTATTTCCCTTCTACTTAATATCTTGAGGTTGTCATATGTATACTGTATGTAGGTGGTAAAATGTAGGCAACAGTATGCCAACTTGTAAAGTAATTTCTAAATTAAAAAATCTTAACCTTGCATGGAATATGGTGGGGTTCCTTGAAATAAAAATGATTTTTGCTTACATTTCTAGTATGCTGGCCAAAATTTTGCTCAAATCCTGACCAGTCTTTAAATGTTAGCAGGGAATGCTTTACATAATGCAGGTATAACTACAGCTGGTAACCTAGTTGATATTTTTTCTATCTTACTAAAAACGTTGTGTAAAAGCCTCAGTTGATTAAATTTACAGCTCGAAATGTAAGAGCAGTAAATCTTAAAGGGCATGAATCAACAACTGAAGGGAAGGGAAATACTGATGATGTGTATTTGGGGAATTATACAGGGGAAGGGTGCCATAGATTTGAATGAAGGTGATGTAACTTTTGTAGAGCAGAGTTGATGAATTCATGTATGGAACTGAAAGTGTAGAGTTAAATTATGAATAAAAGGGATAACAGTGTATCAGCTAATAGAACTTAGGTCAACCATGAATGAGTTTTAGGAACCATGAATGAGTTTAGGTGACAAGCAAGGAGATGGGAAAATAAAAGAGCATAGAAAAAGTACTTAGGCCATTTGAAGACTCAGGAGTAAATGAAAATGGTGATTGCTGGTAAATATTTGTTTTGAAAAAGGTGTGTTTGTTTAATATATGTAGTTTAAATAGGTCTGTGTGAATATATGCCAAAGAAAGGAATGTAAGTCTAATAGCATGACTGATTTGATAGTTTATGTTGAAAAGTTGAATGAATGAGGATCATATTGCAAAACAAATCTATAAAGGGAGAGTGAAGGGGTCAAGAGGAGAACCAAGGAAATCTCCGTTTTGCTTCACTGATGAATTTCTCAAGGATGAGAAACTCAAGGAACAAAAGGCAAAGTATGAATTGATATACAAGCAATCCTTGTTTACCAACCCTAATTGGGACCAGAATTTTTCTCACTAAGCAAAGTAGTCATTAAGTGAAGCATCATGTGACTACACCCCTTAGTGATGGCAGTTCTAGCACTGCTGGTTGGAGTCATTAGGCCAGGACTGTGCCGTTGTTAAGCAAGGACCTCATGCTTCTACTTTGTGTTACTCATATCCACTTCAGCTTCTCCCTCCTGCCTTAGTAACTCCCTATTCATCTTTACCGTTTTGGCTGCCCTATGCTTTGCTGCCCATGCACTCCTCCATCCCAGCTGACTTTCACCAGAGCCATGGTGGCGCACTGGTTAGAATGCAGTATTGCAGGCTAATTCTGCTGACTGCCAGCAGTTCGAGCCTGACCGGCTCAAGGTGACTCAGCCTTCCACTCTTCCGAGGTTGGTAAAATGAGGACCCAGCTTGTTGGGGGCAATATGCTGACTCTAAATGCTATAAAGAGAGGGCTGTAAAGGACTATGAAGCGGTATAAAGGACTAAGTGCTATTGCTATTCTTCCTCCCACTGCTGAGGATGTGTGCCCAACCTGGGCCTTCATGAGGTAGCTGCTGGCTATATCCAGCCTTCCTGAATATGGAAAGAATAATATGGAACACAGAACGTACTCTTTTTTGCTACTGGATTTTTAAGTAACCTTTTAAAATTGGCACGCCAGAAGAACATGCAATATCTTACTGTATTTTCTCCATTGCTGATTACAGGTAGTCCTTGAGTTACAACCTTTCATTTAGTGACCATTCAAAGTTACCACAGCATTGAAAAAATGACTTATGAACCTTTTTGTGGTCGTGTGATCAAAATTCAGATGCTTGTCAGATGCCGTTCATATTTATGACAATTGCAGTGTCCCGAGATCATGTGATCACTTTGCAAACTTCTGACAAGAAAAGTCAATGCGGGAGCCCAATTCACTTAAATACCATGTTACTAACTTAACAACTGCAGTGATTCACTTAACAACTCTGGCAAGAAAGGTCGTAAAATGGGGCAAAATTCACTTAACAGCTATCTCACGTGGCAACAGAAAAGCTGGGCTCAATTGTGGCCGTACTTCAAGGACTACCTGTATTAAGACAAAATTATTATAACAAGTTCTAGGTGGGATGGATAGTTGAACTCAGAGAACAGATACATAAAGGTGTAGCTGGAAGAATAAAAGCATGCTTTGACTGTTTTAAAAAGAAACTGTTGTTCCAGCTTGTATTTGATTTTAGTTCTAAGTTTAATAGATAAAATTCTGGCTTTTGTCTTAGTAGAAACCACAGACTATGATGTAGTATTATGCTGAGCAAAGAGAAAGGTGATTTTATGAGCAACTCTTTATCCAGGAAAGAAAAAACCCCAAACTCTAAAGTAGTTTACGGTGAGCACATCTTAATTCTGGAACTTTTGCCATGCTATTAATATTTTGATATGTGCAGCTGAGTGTCTGCAAATGCATGCTTCCTTTTAAAGTTCCCAACCATATGTTCATGCTCCCAGCAGAAAGCTTAGAAGATTGCTGACATCACCAAATTCTAATTAAGGGAAAAGGGGCAAGATTCATGCACCGAACTTATCTGTGATTTGGTGCCAGAATTCTCAGCCAACTTAGCTTGAGATTTATGGACATTGACGTCTGGATGGATTTAATTTAAAATAGATTCATGCAAAGTTTTAGATAGGAAAATTCGTATTTAACTATAAATACATTTATATTTATTTAAATAGAAGTACATTCATATTTAAAATTCTAAATATGATTTAAATTATAGTTCACTACTCAGACTATAATTCTCATTTCTGATAAAAGTTATTTTTGTTGTTTGATATAACTTGAAGACATAGTGTTCAGTGAGACACGTGGACTTCATTTTTAGACGATACACGATCCATGTCACACATAGCCAATCTAGATAAATCTTGAAAAAGCTAGCGCTGTAGTATTTGGATGGGATTAAGTGACTATTTCCTGGGTATTCCGGGACTGTTGATTAGGAAGCCAAAAAGGAAGGAAAAGGCACTGACAAATATTGCCAAGTTGTTAAGCTTGATTCAAGGTGCCAGATTTTCATATTAATGTTTAAAATGGAACAATAGCCTTAGTATCAAGGAAGCAAATAATACTTGCAAAATCATTAGGAGCTGAACCAGTTTCAGTTCATTTCTAGAATAACAATCATCAGTTCTTAATATTATTTGGTGGTTGTACTGGTAAAAGTGGAGCAATTAGAGGAATATATCTCTTTTTCTTAACTGCATTAAACTATCTGGCTTCAAGCTATTGGCCATATATGATAAGATTAAAAAATAGGATATTAAAAATATTATTTGTAAGACCTGTTCCCTGCAGCATCTTCAGTGCAGGAGCAGTTTTCACTGTTACTTCATTTAGTCCTTGAATTTCTGTGACACACCATCATTCTTAGATATAGTCTCTTTTATGATTTGTTTCTAGTTTTACTCAGTAGAAGATACATTTCAGGACCAGAAACAGACTCGTCAAATCCTTATGATAACAAAAATGCACTCTGCTCACTTTTTATTTCATGGTCTATTTTCCCAGTTCCTGGCATTTATACTGAGATTCTTCTTCTTTGCCCAGAATTGCTCCATCAGTTCAAATCCTGTACAGTAAATCCTTGGTTTAACTTTTTTTTTAAAAAAAGAAAACAAATAGAGATGCTAAGAAAGCTGATGCTGCATTTGTTGAATGTCCAAAACTGGTTCTATTATAACAGTGCCACATTCCATCTACTGAAGCAATGACTGGGTTTTTTTTCCTTCCTTCTTTTACCGTAGATGATCACAAACTGGTTTTTGTGCAGCAGGGTCCCTTGGTACTGGTTTCAGTTTCGCATACCCTACAATCAGAGCAGCAACTACGCCAGGAGCTTTTGTATGTCTACGATCAGATCATCAGCATGCTTACTCAGGCCAGCATCACTCGCATCTTTGAACGGAAAAAGAACTATGACCTCCGGCGTTTGTTGACGGGGTCGGAGAAGATCCTTGACCGTTTGCTGAACCTGGTAGAATCAGATCCTTGTTTCCTCCTTGGAGCTGTACGCTGTTTACCCCTTGCTGCCTCCCTCCGGGATTCCCTGGGCACTTTGCTCCAAAAAGCCATCACCCCTAACCTAGTCTTCTCTATTTTGGTGGCTGGTAGTCAGTTGGTCACCACGGTGCAGGAGAAAACAGTCATTGAAGATTGCCGATTAGAACCTACTGACCTGCATCTATTACTCAATCTCATTGGGGCAACTTCTGCCTTTCAAACTGGGGAAATTTGGACACCTATATGTTTGCCACGTTTCAACCCTGATTGTTACTTTTATGCTTATATTTCTTATTTGGATTCAGAATGTACTATCTGCCTCATCCTTCTCTCTACGGACAAGGACTCTTTCTATTCTGTCTCAGACTGCAAGAAACGCATTGAGGAAGGCATGAGGACTCAAAACTATCTGCAGGCACTCTCAAGTGGCTTAAAGAGCCCATCCTACAGTGTAGGACTGGTGGGAGTGCCAGATCTTCGGCACTTTATGTATAAACCTCTGGATATACCAGATAATTACCGACAGCTTCCCCAGTTCACCAGGTAATATGCTTTGGAGGGTTGAAATTGATTGTGATCAAGACCATCTATGTTCTGAAGCAAGGAAGTATCTATGATGTCATCCTAGGGGCCAGTTTCATCTGTCTTTTGGTTCTTTTCCCCTTAAAATATTCACAAATTTCTTAATGTGACATATCATTCAGTTCATGATTGGAATAAAATCTAGAAATGTGGCTAGTTTTTTTTTTAATGGCCTGTACCTACTCAAGAAAAAATTCCTGAGATTTTTTGTTGTTGTAACTTTATCTCAAATTAATGTTCCTCTTGATTTTGGAGATGTTTTGACAATGTGCAGGGGAAAATGATGTTCTAATATCAAAAACAAAACTGAATTTGCCACTAGATTTTGTCATTCCTGGCAGTAAACATGTACTGCATGTTGAGTGTATCATCAGTGGTAAAGCTACCTTAGATCTTTTTTCTTTTAAAATTTGCTAAGTTTAAGCTGTCCTTTTCACTCCTTTTCTCTTCCCCTCTTTATAGCTGGCAGCCAGAAACTGTGGGAAATGCTAAGCTACATTTATTCAGTTTACTTTAAATAGAGCAGTCATGTGTCCTTTCTTTCTCCTGGTCCACAAAGATCTATGGTAGAAAGAGATTTTATCTTGCGGCTTCTGGGCTGCAAGTAGGGAATCAAAGGCTGAACATCATAAGATCCCAATTAGCTGGCAAAATTTATAAACAATTATCTAAAAGATGTTAAGTAAAATTGACTTTGATGTATTTTAGTGCCTTAAAGGGATGATGTTGTTTTAGAAATCCTTTCTTCCCTACATTTGCTTCAGGGAAAACTGCATGGATAGTATCCCTACCTTATTAGAATGGGTCATCTGATTTATTTTGAGAAGAACTTGTTCTGCAGCTGCTTCTGTTAGAGTCTTCCAATGTCCAGGAAGCCTCTTCTGACCTATATACTACAATATATTATATAACAGTAGGGCAAGCCACAAATCTAGCCTGTTTCCGAATCAGATTTGTAGTTACTTCAGAAGATTCTGAAAAGTTTCCCAAAGCTGATGACATTAAACTTTAGTATTACCACTAGGCTGAGCATTGCTGCATCGGGCAATGCTCAGTTCTACATTTGTAGAACAACAGCTCATTGTATACAAATTCTGAAGTCTGTTCTGTGGTAAGACATTGTGTAGGCGAACACAAAGTTGTTTGTTTCCTCAATATCTTATTTCTCATCTACTACAGTCCAGAACTGGAGGGGCCATATTGCAGTGAGAATGAACGGCACCGACTCTTTGACCTCTACCACTACCTTCACGATCGCATCCACAGTACCTCACGTCCTTTACGTCTCATCTACCATGTAGCTGAAAAGGAGACTTTATTGGCTTGGGTGAGGCCTGGCAACTTTATTGGCTAAGAATGGAACTCTGTGGTAGACTTTCAGGTGGATGGGTTAGATCTATTTTAGATGAAGACATTAGAGAGTTCCTAAACCCATATTTTCTTATGACTTATTACGTAAGATAGTTATAAAGGGCAAACATCTTGCAGGAAAGTATTTGAAGAGATGGAGTTTTCAGTCTTTCACTGATTCCCTATTATGAATCTTTATTTGGGGGTGGGTTTTTTGGCCATAAATAATAATGAGCTACCAATAATACTTGATAGGTGGATAAAAATGGCAAATCTAGCCTAAACATTTGGCTCAGTATTATTTCCTTATTGGTTTTAATAACTGTTGGTTTTCTAAACCTGAAATAAATAATTTTTAGCAGTAGAAGGAAAAGAAGCAGAAGGGAAAGATTCTCACATTGCTTTTTTTTTTTTTAAAAATGCACTGTCCTGGGTTAAACTGGTTTCCATCTTTGTCTTTTGTGGTAAAGAAAAGAAAAAAATAACATCAGCTAGAGAGTCATTATTTTCAGGAAGGATATGAAACTACTTTACAAAGGCTTAGGGAGAAGTCCTTCAGAAAAGATGTAAACATCTTGGGTATTTTGAAGCAATGATAAAAAAAAAATTACATTGCCAATTTTTAAAATGGGATTTTTTAAATATCATGCACAATTATAGCACATACAATTATGTTACTTGCAATGTTTACAAAATTGCAAAACAGTCCTGTTCACGGTTTGCCATTGTGTGCTTCCTGTAGCTGAGAGAGAAGGACTGACCCAATGTCACCCAGCTGGCTTTGTGCCTAAGGCAGGACTAGACCCCAGCATCTGGTTTGGTGCCTTAGCCACTACACCAAGTACGCTTACCTGTACATAAATGCAGTAGGATGAAAGCTTTAAAATGATAAACTTCCATTTATTAATTTATTGGATATTGAGTAGTAGCAGTATGTTTAGACATCAAGTGAAACTTGTTTTACAGCAATATTTGAATGCTTTCAAAAAGCTCTGCAGTATGACTAAGAATTAGCATTTTAAACATTGGCCATATTTTTCATACTACACATCTTAAGGAAGTCCTTTGTCCTGTAAAACAAAAAGTATTTAGTGGAAATATTGGAGACCATTTGGTCATTCAAAAATTTAGGAACCACAACCATTGATATGTTTTATAATGAACTAAGGTTCCATCTAGGAATTGGGAAAGAGCTGGGGTATCTTAATCCTTTTGCTTATTTTCAAAAGTTCTCTCTTTCCTTGTTGGAATTGTTGGCTTCCCCTGCATTCACCAGTTAAAATTTTATGCATGTTCTTTGGTGGTAGTTATGCAGCCTGAATAGTCTATCTTCCCCCTTCCCTTTCTCAATAGGTTACAAGTAAATTTGAATTATATACATGTTTCAATCCTTTGGTGACGAAAGCTGGTGCCATCAATGTCTTGACCAAACTGTTACGTTGGATAAAGAAGGAAGAAGACCGGCTCTTCATCCGTTATCCACCCAAGTATTCCACTACACCTAATCCTGGGAAAGGAAGCAGGGGTCCCCGAACAGATGGTACCGAGAACGGCTTCTTTGGAGGAGGTCACTAGACCAAGGACTTCCAGTTGCTCTCAAATGCATTCTGAATGCGTGCCACCTTACAGATAGCCCTGGATGATGGAACCGTTCTGTGATCTTGGGGAGCTCTTAGTCTTGTTTTCTAAACCAGGACGGGATGGTGCATATGAGAAGGATTGGAGTTTACCAGGCTGAGCTGGGTCACTTTGTTGGAGATAAATCCAGAAAGCTTTAGCCTGATGTTTTTAAATATTTTTTCCACTTGTGGTCTTTATTTCTAGGGAGATACTGAGTCAGATGGAGATCCTGAAATTGACTGGAAATAGATAAGGAGGCTTTGGCTGATATATCTTTGGAAATGACATAACTGGAAGTTACAGAAATTCACAAGGATTGTGCTTAAATTACATTGATGCTTCTGCAGCGTAGTGGGTTTACATTTCTTACCAGTCCTGTTATCACTGGGTAATTGCTTTGTTTTCTCCATTCAGTTTCTCTTCTTAGCAATTTACTTGGGTGTTTTGCTTGTCTCAAAAAATAGTACAAATGGGGTAATAATGGAAAGAGAGCCACAGTGGGAGACAAAAAGTTAATCTTAGAAAAGTTTGAAAATACTTGCTGCTTTCTGATATAACTGCTTGATTGCCCACAGTTCTGGAATGGGTGTGCAAGGCCCATCACAGTGGTGGTGAATTATTGGAAGGCTGGCACTTTCAGACAGTGTGTAATTTAGTAAGATGATTTTCTATAAAGATACCTGATTTGAATCATTTTAACGCAACTTTGGGAGTAGGTCAAAATGCCCAGTTCCAAAGAGTCTTTTATCCTGGGACTATCTAGCAGTATTTTTGATGAACATACACAGTGCATCTTCATGTTGTACTATAATTACCCTGTGAATGAGAGAGGCTGCTTTAGCCCTTTGTTCTGATACCATGAGAAGGTATATAATGGGTGATATAATGTGGTATATAATATGTGAAGGGTATTTTGTAGCCCTTTGAGAAATTTGATGTCTGTATGTAATGGCTCAGTTTGGACAATGTAATTGATTATGATGGCATTTTGATTTACTTTTTAATGTCTTCAGTTTGAACCTAACTGGATTTAACTGATCCTTTGCCTTTCATAACTTTCTTCCTGTCTTAACTCTTCCTCTTGCTCTGTTTCTTCATGTTTTAAAATTCCTATGTGTAATTTGAATACACTGCTTCTTAAAAGGATTCTTGTATTTCTTTTCCCTATGTTGAGATGCCACTGTTCTCTTTCCCACCTCATAATTAGGAAGACACATAACTCCATCATAAATTTACTTTTAGATTCAGTACTGACAAATATTGCTCTTTCCATATCTGCCAAATCCAGATTTTGTCTGAATGTACTAGCAGATGGGAAAGTATTCCCGGAAAGTGACATCATTGACAAGCAGTTGTATTCTTTCCCTTCCTGAGCAGTTGCTGCTCTGCCATGCAAAATGTGTGCTGTATAAATTAGTTGCTCTTTTACTGGGTCTTTTTGTGTTTCTATTCATATTAGTTAAAATTAAGGATTAGGTGGGGGAGCATAATCCTATCCCTGTATCATATGTTATGATGAAGGAGGGGAGAGAGAGTATGTGTGTGCATAATGAGGGAAGACTTAATTTAACCTGTGATACCTGTGAATGTGTGTTAATAGTTTTGAACTGAGTATAAAATGGATTTGACTCTCTTTGCCAATGGTGAAGGAAGTGAAGGAATTATGCTGTTTTGAAGGGGTGAATCTGTTGCTATTCAATTCCTTTTGGTGATGTATGGTTGCTTCTGGCTGGCATTTTTTTCCCTACCCATAAAAGAACAGTGCTGCATGTATGCACTGGCTGGCTGATACTGAAGGTTTATATTTCTAGCTGAGCTGATACAGTGAGAACTGGAAACATCTGATGACATGCCAACAAAATTTGTTTTAAAATCAGTTCCACCTTGGCACGCGTCTGTTCCTTTTTCCATCTGCCAACCCGTTCTGCCAAAAGATTTCTTTAACTTGCAAGGATTAGCTGCATTATTTGTTTCAGGAATCCTTTGTAGCAGTGTTGCAAATAACAAGGCAGTTTCTTCACACTGTTAAAGTAAGTCTGCTTTAACTGTATGCAGTCTAGTCATCAGTTAATTTATTTGAACCTATATCAAATCTGGATATAAGAAAAAAAAGCAATTACTGTAAGAGAAGAACATTGTAAACATATATTTCTTACCAAGGCAAACTCTTAAAAATGGCATTCTTCTTACTTAGAAGGGGAAGAGTTTTAACAGTTGCTGCATTCTTTAAGTACTTGTAGGGAAAGTCCTCGTACATTTGTACAAGTACTTCTATATGTAGTTTAAAAAGGAACTCATTTAATTGGGAGCACTTATTTAATCTATGCAATTTTTAATCAATTTATTTAATGAACTATCACTGAAGATGTTCAAAAAGTTGACTAACAACACTTTTAATGAGGCTACCTGTTTTTAATGTAATTTGATTGGTAATTAGTTCCTTGAAAGAAACAGTTTTTTTATCTGGAAGAGATTTCTTCTTATTAGATGTAAGAAACATACAACTTTTTTTTCTAAGTCCAGTGTTTTAAAATTTACCTGCAGATTGCACTCAACCAATAACCAATGGCATAAAAAGTATCAAAGAGTTCCTATAAGTAGAAATTTAAAATTACATCCCTTTACCTCCTTTAAAATTTAGAGAGAGGTAAACAGTAGTTTTTAAATAATACTTTTCTCTTCAACAATTGGGAAGAAAAAGAAAACAAAAAGATAATGCTATTGTCAGGAGGCTTTCTGCATGATTTTTTTCTTTGTGAGTTTTTTTAAACTTTTTTTTCTTTGTTCCTCTATTTTGTATCTTTCCTGCAGTTGTTCCAGACTTTGTTTCTTGGTTCCTGCAGTTGATTTTGAACCTTTGGGGCTTAAAAAACTATTCTGTCCTATGCAGATTAGCTGGCATTAGTGAGTTATGTACAGTTTTACAACATATATTTCACTGAGATGTTAATTTATTTACTTTTAAATTATTATTTTATTTATAAAGCTTTTTTTTAGATAAATAAGTCTTCTTTGGAGAAGATGTCTTAGATGGTCTGTCAACACTAATTTGAGAATATTAGTTTTCAGAATGAATAGCAACAAAAGAAAGTTGGTCAAAATTGTACGGGACAAGGCTGAGGTATAATGTTGTTTATCTTTTCTCCTCTACTAAGTTAAAATGCTATCTGTTGGTCTGGAGTTGTCAGAAAAACACCTATACTAGGATGAATATTGTTGCTTTCTGTTGCAGATTCTTCCTTTACTGAGTGTATTTGGGGTCATTGCCAAATGATGCTGACAAAATTATACATATAGAGGTAAAGGTTTCCCTTGTCCAGTCATGTCTGACTCTAGGGGGCAGTGCTCATCTCCATTTCTTAGTTGAGGGAGCCAGTGTTGTCCGAAGACCCTTCTGTGATCATGTGGCCAGAATGACTATATACAGAGGTACATGGAATGCTATTACCTTCACAACAAAGTGATGCCTATTTATCTGCTCACATTTGCATGCTTTTGAACTGCTAGGATTGCAGGAATTGGGGCAAGTAATGGGAGCTCACCCATTGTGTGGCACTTGCGTCGCGAATCTAGGCGGTTATCATTTCTAAGTGATAAGCTCAGCAATTTTAACTGCTGAGCCATTGCACCCTCAAATTAAATATATATCATCATCTAAAACAGGGGTGTCAAACTGGCAGACCGTGGACTGGTGCATCACATGCAGGCCACGCCCACCCCTGCTCCATGAAAAACATTGCAATATGTCACATGATGGCAACATGACACCATGAGTTTGACACCCGTGATCTAAAAGAATGTACTGTATGGCACTGTGGGAGATAGGTCTGACTATGGGATCCTGTCCACCTTCTTTCGAGTCTTTTTCCTATACAGTATTCAGACATGACACTTTGAATAAACTTTAAAGAACAACCAATTGGACTTACAAAGGTAGCTGTGTCATAAACAGTAGGACTTCTCTCCCTTCTCATGTTTCCTTTATGTAAAATAAATGCTAATTTCCAGATTCCTTTGTGATCTGGTTGAGAGGCAACTGGGAAGGAGAAATTGATCTTGTCATTTTAGAGTTGCTCCATTTTAGTGATTTATATATTATTCAGCCTGGTTTTATTAATACCACATCATGCTTCTGCTTCTCCAGCCTTGCTTTGGAGCAGTTGAAATGTTTACAAGAGTTGATGGCAAAATAGTGACAGATGAAGATTACCAAGGATTGGAAAAGAGGGAGCATGCTGTATCTCCCAGAATTCACCAACAAATGCCACTCTGGTCCCACTCACACTGGTCACCTGGTGGATCTTTCCCTGTTGCACCTAAACATGAAACAAACATGCCATTTTTGTGGTGTCCCCATAGTATTGCCTTCATCCAGGGGTGGAATTCAAATTTTTAAATAACTGGTTCTGTGGGTATGGCTAAGTGGGCATGGCCATGTGACTGGGTAGGCGTGGCTTTTTTTGCAGCATCCCCCCTCCCATTTTTTTGCCTCCTGGGCCTCAGGGAAGCCTCCAGAGGGGGGCATTTTTGCTCCCAGAAGCCTTCCCTGTGGTCCAGGAAGGCCAAAAATGGAGCGCAGGAGGAGGGGTGCAGCTCCTCCCCTGCCCACCCTGCCCCTTTTTGCCTCCTGGGCCTCAGGGAAGCCTCCTGGGTGAAGCAGTAAGACAGCGGGGGGGGGGGGGAACCCCCGGCCCACCTGATCATTGGAACAGCTGATCGTCAGGAGGGGAAAAAAAAGAAATACCTGAAGGAGTGACTGGGTGGGGGAGAACGCACTCAGCGATGTCGCACATGCGCGATAAGGCCTGACTGGGAGGGGAGGGGGAGAGGGGCAGGGCCAGCCAGCGGCACGATTTGCCGTTCTCCAAACTGCGCAGAATCATAACCGGTTCTACAGAACTGCTGCTGCAATGGGTATAAAATTGGTAATTTTTTGCCTCTCATTATATTGGAGATGAAGTAGGTTTTGAACTCCAGTTTGAACATTTATTTGTCACTTTTGCTGAATCTATTGTTTTGTCTGGAATAGGGAGAGCACAACTTAACATTGCTGAATGCTGCAATTTAGAACTACACCAAACCTGGAATAGATATATTGTATTGCAGGGGTGGAATGCACTTCAGTTGTTATTGGCCCATTGCAATTTACACATGTATGGGCTGTTTCTGCATGTTTCCCTTTCTCCAGTGAGTGTGAATGTAACTTATTATTATTTTGGATCTCTTCCAAAAGAATTGACTCCATTCTGTGGTAAGATGTTGTATCTTTAAACTGCATGTTTTGAAAACATTTTCAAAAGATATTTTTTCCAGTCCAGACTACACAAAGATAGTCCTTATGTTTCTTTTCCCTTTGTCAGAAAACTTATCAGCAATAATCCTGCACCTGCAGAATAAATTACGTTTCACATTACCAGTGGAAGAATGTTGTATTATATTTATGTAAATTATGTGTAATTTTTCATTACTGTACATTGGAAACTGGAAGCAGACATGGCAATTGTTTTTAAATCTAGATGAAATTAAAAAGTAATGCTTGGCAAGCTTTGTGGTATGAAAGACTTAAGTCCATAATTTAAAACAAATATGGACAAAGTTTTACTACCCAGAGCTTTACCTTTGCTTTTATCTTTTTCAGCCACTGAGGGCCACACCATGAGTAGTGGTTAATCTTCCGTGAGGGGATTGAGCCATTTGGTTTTTTTAAAGTGGCCTTGGTATTTCTTTTATGCAAAAATAATGTGTTGTTTTATGTGTCCCCTCTCCTGAAACTGCATTGTTATTAAATTGAGATAGCACTATGGAATTGAGAGTGGCTGGGGGCTAGCTGCAAAAATGGATCTGAGGACCACCTGTGCACCCTGACTTAATACATTTGGCCAATTCTCTTCATTTAGCCTGAGGTACTATTGGATTAATGACTGAATTTGCATATTTAGGGACCGGTAGTAATTTTTACTTTTAGAATAAGCTATGATTTTTTCCATAAATAGAAATTATTCAGGTTTTAGGAATGCTAAGGTAGGCTACAATAATGTCTGTTTATATAGGATTTTGGACTCTATAGATGTTTTCAGTGGCCATCTGCTTGGTCAAGAAAAATCTTATAAAGATGTTCTTCAACTTATGATCATTCATTTAATGACAGTTCAAAATTATGATGGTTTCAGAAGAAGTGACTTGTGACCTGTCCTTGAAGTTATGACCATTGACTACCCCCACAGCCGTGTGATTGCAATTCAGGCACCTGGCAACTGCATTTACAATGCAATGTCACATGATTACAGTTTGTAACCTTCACAGCCGGATTCTGACAAGCAGAGTTAATTGAGGAAGCCAGATTTGCTTAGCCAACCATGTGATTCATTTAATGACTGTGTGATTTGCTTAAGGACCAATTGAAGAATATATATATATATATATATTTTCTTTGGTGCTCTCTGAGCGTGGTTGTTTCCTTGCAGACATTTCATTACCTGACTAGGTAACATCTTAAGTGCTAGAAGGGAGTGGGATTTGCTTATATACAGTAGCTTGTCCACAGGGGCAATGTCTGCAAGAATACAGCCAAGCTCAGAGAGTATCAAGAGCTCCACAGCTTAACAACCATGGTAAAAATTATTGTAAAATTGGATCTAGTCATGTGAATACTCACTTTATAAACACAGTGGCTTCTGACAGAAATTCTGGTCTCAACTCAGGTTGTAACTCAAGGATTACCTATATGCTTGTTGTCTCTTCTCTCACTCCATGTTATTTACCAAATGTGTTTCATGGAGCTGGCGTTGACCAATAAAGCTGTAAACCTTGTGCTGTGCCAGAAGCATTTCCATCCAAAAAACTTGTAAGCTTGTCAAGAATGTGAGATGAGTGGCTAAATTCAATTCAATTAAAATAGTGCATCATGTATTGTAAAATTCTGTATTCTGGAAGACTTGATAAAGCCTAGAATAATTTAAGAAGCAGGAATTCAAGTGGGCTTTGTTTACTCTGGATACAGCAGGTCCTACAAACCAGTTTCTTCTGAGCTGGGAGGGATTGACTTGATCATTTAAAAAATGTCATATTTCCTTTTTGGTGCTAAATGAAGAGTAATCCCTACTTTGTTATTAATTGAAACAGCTCTTTATTTTCTAGAAATATGTGTTTGACTTTTATTTTTTGAACTTGAAAAGTGTAACTTTCTGTCATATCATGTTTTCAGTGTTTTATTTGCTTTTCTTCCACTTTTTCCCTTCTCCACACTTTACCAGTATTGTGTTAAGACACAACATTTCTTTGGTCCTCTGCAGTTGTATAACTTGCCCTAGGATCTTGTGCTAGTTATGTAATATCTTAGGACTGTTATATTTGACCATTATTTTATTTCCCTTTTTTTGCTGCTTTTGTATATTATAGAAAACTTGATGGAGTGTTGTAAGCAAATTATCCTTAGCCCCATCAGAGTATTTCTCTTTGGCAGAATCTCTGAGGTCTTGAAGGAAGAACTGAGCTCTTATAAATAAATAATAAAGCTATGTCAACAGCTGCACTTGAAGGAGCCTAATAAAATATTGGAGACGTATATAGTGTGGTCGGTGTCTGAATATTTGCATTCCTGCGTGCTCTTAACAAAAGGTTGGAGTAGCAGTCAGCTTCTGTTGGTTGTATCATGTGCCCACATATGCTTCCTCACAGTATTGAAGTTACGTATGCCAGTTACGCCCTTTCCTGGACTTAAAATTCCTACTCACGGTCACTCATGCCTCAGTCACTTCCCATCTTGACAACACGTTCTACATGGGGCTGCCCTTGAAGAGCATCTGGAAGCTCCAGTTGGTGCAAAATGCAGTGGCCCACATGGTTTTGTGCAGACCTCAGTGTACACATGTATTGCCTCTCCTGCAGGAACTGTGTTGGTTGCTGATTTGCTTCCAGATATAATTCAAAGTGCTGGTTATCACCTTTAAAACCCTTCATGGCTTTGGACCAAGTTATCTGAGGGACTGTCTCTTGCCAGTCATGTCTACCTGACCCACTAGAGTGGGGAGGCAAGGAATGTTATGAGTCAGGTAGATGTGACTGGCAAGAGACAGTCCCTCAGATAACCTGGTCCCAAGCCACGAAAGGCTTTAAAGGTGATAACCAGCACCTTGAATTGTACCTGGAAGCAAATCAGCAACCAACACAGTTTCCTAGGGAGATACACCTGGTGGGACCCAGAAGAAGGGCCTTCTCCATGGTGGCTCCCTCTCTCTGGAACATCATTCCCCGAGATTAGAATGACCCCCACTCTAATACTCTTCTGGAAGGTGCTGAAGACCTGGTTCTGCCAGTGGGGCTGGGGAACCCAGAGTGGGATGGAGCCCATTAAATGGTTCAGGTGATGTTGCCTGGGTGAGGGGTGGAATGCTATTATTAATTGATTACTTGATTTTCTTTCATTAGTGTTATTTTTTTATACATGGTGTTTATATCCTTGTAAGCTGCCTTGAGTCGCCATGTGCAAACAGGCGGCAATATAAATTTTCTAATAATAAAAAACAATTAGTAACAGCAAGACACGGATTCTACCATTTTTCTGGTAGAATTGTCCCCCCCCCCCGCTGGCCACACAAAACCCCCATAACTGATCAGCACAAAAAATGATGAAGACTTAAAAAAAAAAAGAATGGGAAATCCTACATGAAGTTTTGTTGGAAGAAGAAAAGACTTTAATTGATGGTTTAGAGGTCTAGGGGTTTAAAAGGATTGAAGAAGAAGGGAAAAAATTAAGATGGAATATCTCAGGGGAAAGATGGATGGAAATCATTATTCTGTGTTCTTTATTTTCTTTCTTTTTTTCTTTTATATATTTTTTCTTTCACTTTCAATACCTTCATTGCATTGGAAATTTTAAATAAAAAATATGTCTAAGATCCACACAGTAACTCTTTGGTTCGCACATGTTGGTTTTGCACGCAAGGGCAGGATAATCAGAGGCCTAGTTTTCTCTCCTCAGCCACCAGCTGAATTTGTCTCTAAGCAGCAGAGCAGTTGCCTCCGAGTCTTTTTCTGTTTAGTGTCAGTTGAGAAGAGGTGGGAACGAGGAAGGACCCTCCTGCATCCCAGGGGAAGAGGATGGAGGGCAGCCATCCAGGTAAGAAGGGGATGAGTACAAAGATGGAGACCGTCAGAGGGAAAAATCCAGAGCTATCAGAGGGGAGGCAGTAGTGTCAGGATATCTAGCAGAAGTAACTCCATTTTTAGAATAAAAGGGGTAGAAACCCCATTTGAACAAGGAAGGAGGATCACACAGACTTCCCCCTCCCCCACCATTTTTCTTTTTTATTGTAATATTGTAAATCATGATATCAGTTATTTTCAGAATATTTGATAGAAATAATGCCCATTAGTAGAACAGAAGGAGTGTTATGTTTGAGAGGAATAATAATATTGACTGTAACTGCGGTAACAAAGGTTGGAAGCCACTTCTTTAATTATTTTGTAAGTATATTGTTTCCTATACTTTTTTTCCCCTCTTCCTTTCTTCTTTTATATATTACTTATTTTTCTTTTAGTCAAGGGAAATTTCCCAATAAAAATTATTTAAAAAAAACACAACCCAGAAACAGTAGAAACCCCATTGGAGCGAGGTAGAAGGATCAGGTTCTGTAAATTTCTTTTTTTCCCCATTCCCCCCCTTTATTGTAACATTGTAAATTATGATGCATGGTAGTATTTCAAGGGAGATTTCAATGCTGTCAGGTTTGTATAATACCATTAAAACTTACTAATGTTTTTATTTATTTAATAAAACCTTTTATTATTTCAAACAATAAATATTTACTTATTATTTTATTACTAACAAGCATAAAGTATTAAGATTTTTTTTTTAAAAAAGTATCCCAACTGATCCCTAGAGCCCACCTTTATTAACAGGATCTTAACACTTGGGGCACATGGGGCAGGGCCCCTAAAAACTGTAAGAGATTCTTGGTAACAATCATTAAACCCACATCCCGAGTCTTTCCGTTTGATATTCTGGAATATCAAGACCTGGTTATCAGGACTGGGACTCCCAGGTAACCAGAGACATGTTTAGATGGCTCCATTTTGGGGCTGGCTATTTTCATTCTCAGTGTGCCCATGGTTTGTATCTCTGTTTTTGTAATATTTAATGTGACTGTTATATTTTTAATAACCATGTTTTTTTATATGTAGTTTTGCCTGAAGTTTGTTGTATGCCACCCAGAGTCGCTTTTGGGGAGATGGGTGGCGATATAAATCTGATTAATATATAGTATAAATACATCAATCCATAAATAAATGGGTTTGATTCAAAGGAAAAACATCATTTCCTAAACTTCAAAAGGTGGCATGGATGCCATGCTAAAATGCAAATATTTCCATTATTAAAATGCTAATCATAAAGCATACAAATTCTCCATAACAATAAGAGAAAGAAGGAAGTATGTCAGCTAGGAAATAGATCACATTTCCAAGTAAAGATGTGCCAACTAGTAACCACAGGTTAAAAAGATAAAAGAATGAATACAGGGGGTATCTGGCAGTGGTCCTGCACAGCCATTGCCCAACCCTACACTTGCTATGCTGGGGTTCTTTTAATAAAGAAAATATATGATTCTCCACAAGTGTCATTTGGCTTCTTTTTTTTTCTGGCTTGGAGCCGAACACTGGGAAGGGTTTTTTTTATTTCCTTCAGAAAAGCAGCAAGGAGAAAGGAGGGGCTCCTCACAAGATGTGGTAAAATTGTGCAATGTAGTTTCCACCCCAATCTCATTCATTTTATCACATTTCTCTCTCTTCTCAGCCAGTTCCCCCCCACTTTTTTTAAATGTTGTGGTTTACCGTTAGTGATAATCATTTGGCAAATGAGCGGTGGTTTTTCTTTACCCCCAGCTGCTCAATTCAAAAGGAAAGGAAATGATGGTTAAATAGGGCAATGGAAGAAATAGCTGCTAGATTGGTTCATTTCTCTCTTGCCAGGTGTGAGTGTTTAGGTTTTTTTAAATAGCTTTTTGAATAGTTTTTTTCTTTAACATCCATAAATGCTTGTGAACAGTGTATTGTCTGGGTCAATATTTTTAAACACCATACTACTATTACTAATATTTAGATATATATAATCATAATCTTTCAACTTCTAACATTTATGTATATGTGGTAATTATAATGTGTTCTATTATATATCAGAATGCATAATACTATTTCCTCAATTTCTACTTTCTACCTCTTTTTTTCTATCTCTTAATAAGATAGCCCACCCTATTAATAAGTATTCTGTATCTATCCATCATCTCTTGTCCATTTTAGAATTTCAACTCTTATTGTCTTTTTGGTAAATCTTTCATGCTTCTCCCTTGGAATCTTGTACATCACATTTATTTAATCTAAATATTTCATCTGCCACAACATCTATCTCTTGCTGTTGGATCTCTAGAGTATCCATTGGTAGTTCTTTCATCATTTTAAGGAAAACTTTCTCTTTATTCTCTTCTATGTTTTGAACTCTTAGAGGATAATCTCTCTGTTTCGTTTTAAGAATTATTACTAGATATTCCATTTCTTTCTCTGCTTATATCATTTTTGGATTTATTTCCCCTATTCTTTCCTCAGCTCCTTCTGGTTTCTCCTGTATTTTCTGATTTTTTTGTTCATCTTTTATTATCATTTGCTGAAGGTTTTCTAGACTCACATCTGTATCCTGCATCAATTTCATCATCTCCCTATGATTCCTTGTCATAACGTCCTGAATACATTGAAACTTCAATAATATTTATTTATAAAACATATTTGTTTTCCACAGTTGAGACATTTTGTAATGATTTAATGGGCTAATAATTGCTCAATATTCCACCAAGATCCCAATTGCCCAAAAGCACAAAAAATGCCAACATTAATAAAATTTACACAGTCCAGGAACTGTTCCTCAAAAACAAGATTCCCTTTTCTTGATATGATTTCTTCCAATAATCAAATAATTTTATCCACAGATTAAGTTACTTTTCACACTACTACAAGTTCCAGTCCGGGTTTTCTATATTTTAAAGTTTCATAGTTTTCCATTAAAAGTTTGTTTCACTTCTGTGTCCATAATCTTTCTCTGTGTATTATATTGCTGCTTTCTTAGCGTTTTGGAGAGTCTTTTTTTAAAAATCATTTTATTTGGGTTTAGATATCTAGTTTAGAAGTTGAAAGTTGTCTCACCCCATTCCAATCCTCTGCTACGAACTGCTTCAGTGCATAATCTTCTTATCCCAGTTGTCGCAGCTTCGGTCTTGCCAAAACAGCTGTCATCTCTGCTGCCTATCAAGAGGGTTTCTTTGGATCAAGCGAGGAAACTGCTGTTTTTTCATGATCTACAAAGTATCCCTCCTTCTTCACCATCCCTCCAGGGTGGCTTTGACCCTATAGAGTCTCCTAGCAAGCAAGTATTGGCTGGGTTTTGTGATGCTCCGTGGAGCGCCACTATCCCATATCCATCCTGCTGCGACACCGGTAAGGAGTTGAGTGTTTAGATTTTGAGATTTAGAATTTCCTGCTGGATTTAAGTTGAGTCTTCCAAAATATTAAGTACTAAACCCAAGAAAAATAAGCATTATGCTATGACAGGATGATGTATTTTTGATGGTTAGATTTATATCCTTAGGAATTCAAGGTGGCATATATAGCGCTCCCTCTTCCTCTATATCTGCACACACAAAAACAGAAACAGATTATGCTGAGAATTATCCAGTAAACTGCTGTGGCTGAGAAGGCTTGGATTTAGTGTTCCCTGCTGCTAGTTTTTTTACCCTAGACAGGGAAGTTATGTACAGCAAAGCTTGGTTTTGCTTCCTTGAAGGAAATTAACTATGAATATTTGCTCTTTCAGAATGCTGTCTAAAGCTGAACTTTTGTGGGAGGTCCCTGAGTCCATCCTTGTTAGTAGATTTGTTTCCAAGTGGAGAAAAAAAAAGGATTTAGCTTATTGCGGTCTTTCAGTCCAGTTTTTAATCATGCATGGCCAGAATGAAGTCTTAGGCTAAAGGGCCTTCAATTTGGTCCTACTGGATATAGTAGAGGAAAGGTTTTTTAAGTCTCAACCCTGAACTGTAAAGGTCTTTTATTATAACGAAAGCCTATTCTACAAATCCTTTTCTGCTCTTTACATATTTATGCAATATTCTATATTAATATTTAATAGAAACTACAGAATATTTCATGACACATTTATACTATTAATAATATTAATGTAAATATTATTCTAGTATCCTTTCAATTCATCTCAGGAAGCCCTTAACTCTGAAGGATACATTGGAGGAAAGATACAATAATTTTCTATTCAACTGTATCCATATCTATAATAACAAAATCTTCCATTGCGTTGTACTTCCTCCCTCTTCCAGTGTATCAGGAAAGCATCTGCTTGAAATACTTCTGAATAGCAAAAGCAATAGCACTTATACACCACTTCACAGTGCTTTATAGTTCTCTCTAAGCAGTTTACAGAGTCAGTCTATTGCGTCCAACAATCTGGGTCCTCATTTTACTGACCTTGGAAAGATGGAAGGCTGAGTCAACCTTGAGCTGGTGAGAATTGAACTGCTGGCAGTTGGCAGAATTAATATACAATTCTAACCATTGCATTCTAACCATTGCACTACCATGGCTCTACAATATTATTATCTTTGGGAATTTTCCAGGGTTTTAAAATATATTTTAGTGCCTTTTGTCTAAATACTGTAATAGTTCTTCATATTTCCAGCAAGCTCATTCTCCTTACTCTCTACATCAACTGCAGAGGACAGCCACATGAAGAAATCTGAAAATGCACTCATTTGAAAAGACAAATTTGCTGAGGAGTTAAATTCCTTGTCTGTCCAATCACACTTAGCCAATAAAGAATTCTATTCTGTTCTGTTCTGTTCTGTTCTACTCTATTTCTAAATTGCACCAGTTAATTGCTATTATCTTTTCTATGTGGAAAGTATTATAATTTTGATTTTGTAACATGCAGGAAGAACATTACAATTTCCATTTCACAGATGGACTTTTTCAGTTAAGAGAAAAAAATCTTCCATATAGGCAAAAGGTCTACATGCTGTCCAGATTTTGATATACTCCATCTGGGTTAATATATATGTGGGTGAATGACGATATATAGCTTATGTGGATTATGACAACATTTAAACAATTCTGTTTGTTCTTGTTCTTTGTCCAGATTCCTGGAACTTTGCATCAAAAATGGAAGAGATACTGTCTCTAGTGAAACAAATGCAAAACGGTATTTTTTTGAAGCTAGGGACAACAGTTAGAATGGGCACCAGGCATTAGACATCTTAGTAAAATTTTGGAGTGTACACATGATGGTAATGTGTGACCTATCAATGATTAAAGTGGGTAGTTCTCTAGAAAATCTATGATGTTTCACATTTGAGCTATGGCTGAAGATTTATTAAAATCTGGAGGACAACACATTGCTTACCATATAGAAAATAGCTGGGCATTGAGACATTTGGAATTCTTTCCCCTCTTATTATGGAAAGAGTTGTTCTGACCACCATAGAAGATAAAATTGGACAAAATCTAAAGGTTCAAATTTCTGATACGTTTGTAGGAAATGTGTTTGCTATTTGTTGCCGATAAACGAATAAGGAAAAGTAGCTCCAAATGTGTAAAAGTAGCCTGCCACTTCTATCCATGTACACAGCATGTTGCAACATTATGCCTGTACAGTGGAAATAGTTGATTTCATGCAATTTTGGGTGGGTGGGGCGCAGCACAACCAAATACCGTATCACATAATCTAGGGACCTACAAAATGTAATCAGTATGTATACAGTATTGTGATTGTAACATTGCTTTGATGCCAAACAGTGGTCAGATTCTGTGGGTGTGTATTTGAATTAAACAGAATTTTGCATGAGAAGGGAAGGCCAGAAGTTCTTATTGGATGCCAGAAGAAAAATATAATGAAAGAAGGGATGCTGACTTTAGGAGAAAGGTTTAAGCATCCAGTTTTTATTTTAAAAAAATCCAATCAGCATAAGATAAACCATCAATATAATTTGACAGTTAATTATTTTAAATTATCCTATTTACCCTCTGAAGCTGTCAGTTGCATTTGTAATGGAAGGAAAGATATGCAATAATATACAGGAAAGTGGTTATGGTGAATTTATATAAAGTTTTAAGGTACTAATAAAGAATCCAGATGAAACTTTCTCCTTTTTCCTTTCCTTGATAGTAGGAAATCTAGAGCCAAAAATAGAAGATCTAGTAAAAAGAATTAATAAATTGCAGCAAGGTAAGGGATTCAAATGGGACACAAAATAAAGGGCTGTGGTTGGCTGGCAGAAGTCATGGATTACATCACTATACTTCATTTGATAAACTTAGTTGGATGAACATAAATTGAGCAGTAGAAATATTTTACCTCATTTGAAGAGATTATTTGTTTGATTTAAATATGTTGTGATATTTTGAGACTCTTGGTAGTTCACAACAGTTCTAAAACAAAACATTTCTGTGCTAAATATAAAATTAAAATAAAATCAAAATTACATAACCCTGACAATATCACAGTTCGCCCCCAAACCTTCTGGAATAACTCAGTTTTAACTAAATCCTGAAAAGTTATTATCAATGCAACTAATCTTACCTCCAGGGGGAGGCCTGGGACTGTTGAAAGAAACATCTCCTGGCCCTCACTTCCCTCCTCTTATTTTATAAGATTGGAGGTCTTCTCTTTTTATTGAATGCTCTGATATTTTCTCATTGCTGTTTCAGTCTTTTTCTATCTGCAAACTGTGGTTTGTTAAAAATAAGAAGCAGAATAGCTCTACATTATCTTTATTTGTTATTTAGTATGATTCCTCTGTCAGAAACTCCACTAGCACAATCTTAGTAAAAATTGTTATTGCTGCACTTATTTTAGCTGAGTAATATTACAAAGGTTTAAATGTATTTTTACTATTATACTATAATATTACGCAGATGCAAAAGATCCTTGTCATGAGCTTCCCATTTATCATATACTCTGTCAATTTATTTGTTATATGCATTTTTCTTCAGCCAAGAAGATATTAAATGAAGAGATTTCTGAGACAAATAAACACAGTAAAACACTTCATATAGAGCTGGAAAAGTGTAGGTATTTTTTTCTGTCATAGTTCAGATTGAAGCCAACTAATCAAATGCCATTAATCTCTCCCTCCACAGCCAGTTTTTAAAAAATATATGAACTTCAGAATGCAATCCACTTTGAATAATCTTTAGTTTTAAATAGACATATTTAAAACTGCATTATTGCTATGTTCACCTAGTAATATTAAGGCAAGTTTTTAAACCATACTATGCTGAATAAGTCATAATGGCTAGCTACTACATAACCTAAATCATAATGGATGGGTTATATATATATTAAACAATAATGGGTGGACATCACTAAGCAAGTAGCCACATTATGCTATGTTGCTATGTATGATTTACAGTGCTGTTGATCTGCAGGTACAGGCCAGTTAATTTAACTATTTTAACAACAGCCAATATATTACATGATATGTAACAGTATATGGAAATGGCTGAGAAACAGAAGGGAAAGCCATAAACCGGACAACCAGCATATAAAAGCAAGAAAAATCAATGCAATAAGATTATTTTGAATTGTTTTTCTGTTCATGTTTGTAGACAGAGGACACTTTAGCTGTAGTAAATGTATAGTACCTGGAAACAGAGGTCAGACTTTTATAATGCAGTTTTAGAAAAATAAGGACCAACACCTGATGTTTCTTCCATTTGTATTTTCTGCAATATGATAAAAATAATGCCTAAATGAAATCACTTCTTCTCTTGTAGTGAATGCTGAGAAGTCAAGCCTTGAAGAAATATGGAATGAGAAAAAGGGTAATAGAAAATTCTGAGATACTGGATTGATTTTTTAAAAAACATTAATAGTTTTTGCACTTGTCCACGTTATATTCCTTAAAATTTCATATCTGTTGCGAGGACAATTCACTATTAATATGACTACAATATGAAATACAGTTTCAAGAGATACATTGTAGTATGAAATGCAGTTTTAAGTGACACTTTATGTTTTGGCATTATTATAAAATTAATTTAATTGCAGGAATTAAGTTTAATTTAACTAAGATTATCTTAATATTTCAATGCTTATACTATTTTGTATAGGTTTCTGTTGTTAATATTAGGGGGAAAATCTTAAGTTTTGTGTTAATTGTTTCTTATTGTTGCTGTTACGATATACATTTATATCCCATTCTTCAATGCATATGTTTCCAGGATGGTTGACAGAACTACAACAGAAACTGAGAAAAAAAATAATCAAATTCATTTGAGACAATGGCAGTACTAAAGCTCCACATTGCCCCTTTTTTAAAAAAGCTACAAAAGTCAGCATTTCTTCTCCCAGCTTTACTTATTCCCATTTGTTATATGAAGATGACATATTTCATAGGCAGTGAGTTAAGGCAAGGTGAAAACTTGTGGTTACAGGTTATATATAGCACAAGTTGGCTTTTATAGTGCTCTGAGCCATCCCTGACAAAAGGGCAACAGTTCCCCAAATTTTGAGAAGAGAAACAGATGAAAACTCTAGCATAAGTCCTAAAATACATATATCATAGTTTAAAACCACCCCTAATGCCCCTCAAAGTCCCATCACTTATTCATATCAAAATACGTTGAGTACCAAATTTGATGAGTTTGAAAGCAGTTGAGTACCAAGGTACCACTATAAGTATAACTAAAAAAAACAACACTTAAAAGTCGTGGTGCAGAGAGAAAAATTATCTCCATGTACTTTCTCCACCTGGTAATAATTTCTATACTTAACAATATTGCCCATTTTATTTTTTATTTACTTCTCAAAGTTTCATAAGATGGAATTAAACTTTTTCATGAAAAATACATACTGGACCAAAATTTTCATCAAGCTGATCATCACAAGCCCAATATCCTTTCCTGATGAGGCTTTTTTCTTTAAGTAACTTTCTGATTACCTGTGCTTAATACAGAGGAAAAATAGAACACTCCCTTTCCTGTAGTCCCTTGTTACTTTATCTAATGAAAGGGTGGCATAGTGTTGTTGCACATGTTCTGTTCCTTGAACGTAGTGTTAGAGAACTTCCGTGTTAGAGAACATACAGTACATAAAACCATGGCAGAAATATTATGCAGAAAGAGAATAACTGAACTGCTGAGAATTAATATTTACCTTTCTTGCAGAGATAAAAAAAGTCATGCAGATGCATTCAGAGGAGACACAAGCTGAAATGCAGAGGTGAGCTAGGGCCTCTGATCCACCTGCTTTGTGGACTTCGCTATTGAAAAGTACTGAGCAATGTTCTAGACCACAGAAAGAAACACAACAAATCACTTCAATGCTGTCAGTATATATTATTATTTATTATGATTATATTTTACGATACTTATCACTTGTTGCTTGTATGTAAACTGAGAGCTTATGCACCAGAGACAAATCCCTTGAGTGTCCAATCACACTTGGCCAATAAAGAACTATTCTATTCTATTCTATTCTATTCTATTCTATTCTATTCTATTCTATTCTATTCTATTCTATT